CGCCACAAAAGGGTGTAAGCTTTTTATGAAGATTGATGCACTGTTAATCTTGCAGTCAAGTATTTTATACCCATACTGTGCGTGGTTGTGACCGTCACCCACCCTCCAGGGAGACTAGCCTATCAGCCTTTATTGGAAAAACTTCCTAATATGAGCCAGAGAGGGCCATGATACACCATAGTGTGTCAAGGGGAAAGTAAGGGACAAGCAGGGGGGATTGAGGGACAGGTGCTTAAGAACTGAGTTATATAGCGACAGTGCATGCGGAGAAGAAGGAGAAAAAACAAACAAACAAACAAACAAACAAACAAGCAAACAAAAAACAGGCAGAACAGGCATTGTAGCTGATGTATGTATTGTGGCCTTGAGGTTGTTGTGCTCCATGCAGATTACCAAAAATAAACACCTAAATGTATAATAAAGAAAGAAAAAAAACAAACAAACAAAAAAAAAGAGAAGTCTATACTGAACACCAGAAATGTGAGAGTCCTGGTGGTGGAGGAAAGCCCGATTGTGGAGAAGAGTTGCCAGCGCAGTGTGGTAGGTTTGAGAAGCAACTGAGCCCCTTTTGAGTGATCCCATCGATTCTTTGCGATGCTTCACGGAGCTGAAGTATCAAACATGCATGCGTGTATTTGAACCCTGTTTATGAAAACCATCACCAGGGTCCAGGGCCAATGTCCCAGACCCGCGGGGGAAGGCGGGCGGTAAGGCACCCCAAGGCTGCAGGAGCGCCCAGACCCCACGAGCCATACCATGAGTATCTACAGTGTGTGTTGACCCACCACCCCCCCTCTTACTATGATTCTCCGATCCCTGACGGAGAAACATTAACCCTACACCGTGAGTGCCCATAAATGTGATGTGATGCATTAAAATTGAGGGACATAGGAGACAGGTGGGGGCAAGGCTGATGGCTACAGCACACTGCTGTACTGCAGCCAGTACAGCCATAAGGCACCTGAAACCTGTTCCCATCTGTCCCACAAGATGTAGGTGTATGTGGTGCTTTAAAATTGGAGAACAGATAAGGATGGGTTGGGGGGCAGCATGGAGGGCTACAGGACACCACTGTCCCATAGCCTGCCCCAACGAGAAGCCCCCCAATCCATCAGTGGTCTGCACCTCGAAGAGTGAATGTATGTGGTGTGTTAAAACTGTGGAATGTGTGATAGGTGAACTGAATGTGGTTTAGGAGGCCAGGCCAGTGTAGGCCCGGCCCGAAGGCCGGAGGGATGGATGAGTGGGGCTAGAAGGTGGTGCCAACCAGACCCCGGCGCCGCGAGGCCCCCAAAGCCCATGGACAGCGGGCCAGGTGGGCCCCAAGGAAACCCAACAGACCCCCAACGGGCCCCCACCGGACCCCGCCCAATAAGCAACTGCAGCGTCAGGCCCCCGCAACGGTCCCGACCTGGGTCGCACCGCCCGCAGCAGACCGACCCCCAGCAGAAGGACGAGGCACACCACCAGCATGCATGGACAACGAACCCCACCCAGCACCCTGGACCCCGGCGCGCAGGAGCACAGGCCAACCCGCAACACCGCCAGTACCCCCTCCAGACCGCCCCAGACCCAAAGCTGGGTGCTACACTTTACTTGTCAACATGGATATTCTTCCCAGTGTTGAATCAGATCTGCCTCCAGGGCCTGGGTCCAAACACAACGCGCTCCCCGTGACCCTGTGGACGCCGCCATTGTTGTTGTTGCTTGCCGGCTTGTCCTCCTCACATTTCTTCCATCCTCCTGCATGCTGACGTGGGACGTATCCAGACTCTCATTGGCTGATGCTCTTTGTCAGTCATGTCAGACTTCTCCAGTTTTCTAGCATGCCAGATATCCAGTCCCAGACGAGGGGGCAACTTGCTCGTAGGCTTGTTCACACATTAGGACTCGTCGTGGCAGACTATCTGCCGACCCACCTCCGACCCAAGGTGGCTGTCAAGATCCTCTGCGACGTCAAAATTGGGGTGAAAATCTTGTAATGTGAACTAGGCTTAAAGCGCAGCAATGCGAGGTGCGTCACAACGCAAATACCGTGGGCAAAAGCTTCATTCTCATCGAATTACAAAAAGCCACCTCCTGCTGCTAAGGTGCTTTCTGTGTTTTCGGGGCCTTAAGTATTTAAACCCAGCAAGGCTGGTCTAAGTGGGCTGATGTATATTAGAAACACTCGGTGACAGTGACTTCTGTCATCAGCAGCTCGGCTTTTACATTCTTTTGTTTGGTTTTGTTGTGTATTTTGTATACCGTAGTGAGATGTCAGGAAGGTATGAAAGTATGAAAAACAGATACCGGCCAAGCCTATTAGCTCGCCGCCCACAGTCTTACTTGATTGAATGAACTTTTGTAAACACCCCAGAGTGAAGAATGAGTCATCAAACATTTGAAACCGTTTTACTGAAGCTGCAAAGACAAGGATTTTGATGTAAAAATATGGTCTATAAAAAGAAATAAATGTTGAATTAACACCGGGACACAGGATTAAAACTGAGTAAATGTATTTTTCATTTCATGGGGACTTTAGGATAAATTAATCATACCACGCAATTGTGTAATTATAGTAAATCAGACCATTACGGAGGTTTTAAGTGTTAGTCGTTCTCTACATTCTCATTTTTTCCACCCAAATCTGGGTAATTGTGTTTCCTTTGAATATTAAAATAATGGGTGAAAAATTAGGCTGAAAGTACAACTTGTTGAGCAAACACAACAATTTGTTCTTGGTGCATATTTTCTCTCTATTACTGGACGGACTCCAGGAGAAAATCAGCTCCTTTTAAAAATATGGGTGTTTTTTGGCGACAAACAATAAAAACTGAAAACCATTAGCCGTGCAGTGCGTACTGCCAAATGACAACTGATTTTGTTGTATTCTCTCCACAAAATGTTTTGCAGATGAGCTGACAAAGGGGACAAGAAGGCGTACTGTCCTCTTCTGCAACATAAAGCAAAGTTTACGGAACATTTGGCTTTGGTTTTAGTCGTGTTTATCTACGATAGAACAGAATAAGCCAACAACCTGCATCCAGGGTTACTCGATCATACTTTGATAATCTTTTTAATGAGCAAACTTGCATAATACAGTACATCAATATATGATATTACATATACAGTATCATGTTTACAATAATGATAAAACCCCAGAATGCATAACTGTGAGCCTGGAGAGAGTGAGGCCGGCAATGAGTACACACACACATTCACTCACACACTCAGCACACACACAGGCACATGAGGTCACAGACACACGAACGCACACATGCATGAAAATTAACTTCTTTCTACACGACTGCACAGCTGGCCAGCTCGGGGATCTGAGCTTCCCACATTTGTGCGCTATCAT